TGAAGTGTACATACAGCACAAGGGTTAAAGGTGGGGGTTATTTTCATCAATCCCCTGAAGTGCTCATTTCAACTTTGTTTCCAGAATTAAGAATACACATTTTCACGTGTACTGTGAGTGTCCTTCTAGTGAGGTGAATATTGTAATCTGAAGCATGACTTTTCTTTTGCAGTAAAAGAAGTTCTGTTCCATTTGTTTGGTCTTTGCTTCTCTAGCTGAATATTATTTATCTGTCGTGTTTCTTTTTCATCTCGTTAAAGGTCCACAATTCTAATCATGTGTTTGAAAGATGTTTAGTTCGAAGGCAAGAAGAGATCTTGCAGACCAAATTTGAATTAATCAGTGGAAATACAATACTATTTCTCTCCCAGAAATGAATAATCATCTTACATGCACATGAAATCTTTTTGCATTACTTGAAAACTCACAGATTAATAAATTCAAAGGTGTCAGTTTCTGCAGTAATGGAAAGGTAGAAAAGATAAAATTTGTGTCAGGGAAGCCCAGGTTCTCTTCCTAGACCCTGAAATACGGGGGAAGCAAGGACCTGCTAGGATTTTTGTCATGGGAATTCTCTTTTCACAGATTTTAGACATCACAGTTCAAAACCTTACATAACGAAATCCAACTACTAGCAGAAAAATAAGGATTACCAGGGTGAGTGGTGTTCACCTCGATTACCCTCCTGTGCTCTCAGGATCACTTATTGGTGTGCCACAACGCAGCTTCCATTTCAGATTGTCTTGGTACGGAAATAACTCCAGTGCCTGCCTCAGCTATGACTGCTGCTTTCACAAGCCGTGTCATTGAAACTGTGTCATCTCGGGCATCAGTTCTAAGTGGCAGTAGGAAAACTCAACAACATACTGTTCAGTTTTTCGATTTGTTGCTTTTTCCTAGAGCAGAAGGTCCCCAGAGTTAAGAACACTTTTTCTTTTTGTATTTTTATGTAGGTACCTGTCTTTATAGTGGTAAATTAATGCCAGTTTACTGAAGGTGCCTAAAGTTCCCCAGTTTAAAGGAAATTTTTATAATTTCAGGTTGGCATTTTCATTAGGCATTTATACATTAATAAGGTGATGGTAGTTTTGTTTATTTTTTCCTTTGGTGGGTTTTTCCCCGGGGATTTCTCCAAGAGAGAACTTTTTTGTGTGTATTACAGCCTTTGCTGCAGCTTGATCTGTGATCCTTGGACAGGCAAGCAGAAAGGCAAATGCAAGCAGCTAATTTTATGGCTTGAAATAAAGTGAGATTACGCTTAACTAAGTATGTTTTAGGAACAGGAATTTAATAAGAAGTTTGCAACCCTTAAAGAAGCAGTGAATGACAGGCTAAATTTGGTAACATCCAACACTGTCGTGTACCCTGGTGGTGGAAAAGATGGGTTATGGATAAACGCATGCCTGGTTTTACCCTGGCTTACATAAAAGTAGGTGAGTAGTGAATTGATGCTGCACTTTTCTATAATCATGTCTAGAACACTACATAGAGACAGAAGATGCTTTTTCTGAGTGTGACACTTAAAGATTTCAGAAGGGAGCTAATAAAAATCGAGTAGCAGTTTATGTAATACAAAGATAATGAAACAGGAAGAGATAAAGGAAAACCCATCTTTTGCTGTATGGAGGAAAAGGCTGCAGGACTATGATTAATGCATTGAATCGGATGTGATTCCTTTTTTAGCGGTAGTTTCCCAGATGCACAACCATGAAGGTAATTGCCTGGTATTTGTCTGCTGTGTATTAAAATTTCTAAAGTTTTGTTTTCTTTATCAGTCCAGAAATAGATTACTGCAGAGTCATAATTGTGTGAATGATTTAGTAATATATCTCACAAAATGAAGGTTAGAAGGGAAGACTCACTTTTGGTTTTCTGTCTTTTAGGATAGTTTATCACTTGAACAACTGCCTTCTGTCACTCACCTCTAAAACCCCTAAATGCTTGCTTTGTTTGCTTTTGAGTGCATATTCCTTTGCTTTGCAGCTACAAGTCTGAGTTTATCACTTGCCAGGTACTGGTGTCTCCTGGTAGTGTTTTACAGTGTATCCGCATCATATTTAAATCCTAGCATTCAATATTATTTTAGTAGTTTGTCCTATGAGTAATTTGTCCCGTGACATCGCTTGTGCATACTCGCCATCTCTGTCATCTGTAAATGATGAAGTATTTTCCTCCACTCCAGGAATGGTTAGCTGTAGGTACGTGAAATCTGAGACAAAAACCACTCTTCAGAGCAGTCCGGCTGGTGTGCTTTGGCTGTGGTCAGGAAGGCCAGGAGCCACAGACCCTTTCTTAGCCCTAAATCAGCTTTTATTTTTTTCCCTCTAATCCTGTGGTAAGCAGTAGGAACTGGTGGTTTTATAGTTAAAATGGTGTAGTGGGGCACTGGCTGTCTCTCACATTGAAGCTCTCAGAGCCATCAAGCTCTCCATGTTGCAATGGCACAGATAGTTTAGAGGTGCAGATCACAGGAATGAGGTTGACTTTGTATGGGAGTGGAATGGTTGAAAAGAAGATGAAAACACCTTGAGAGGTCATCTGTGCCTTTCCCCTACTTCTCTTTGGAAGGGAGTCAGGTATCGCTGAGCTGTTACTGACATTTTTTTCAAACTATTTTTAAAAATTCACTCCCTATCAATGAAAGTTTTACAACTTGTAGGCTATTAATCAATTTCACTGCCTTAATTACAGTTATTAAGGTAACTATATAAATACAGTTTATTTCCTTTTCCCAGTTCCCTGTGTGTATCTGGAGAGAGCTAGTCTTCTCTAAAGATTTTACTTGATTTTTTGCAATAACTCGACTCTCTTTATTTGACCTCTTTAGCTAAGGGTGAGCTAATTACTTTTAATTCATAGCAGTAATGCAGTTCCTTCAGGGCAGGAGAATTTGGTGTAATTATTGGCTGCAGATGTAAACAGTAACTGCCTTGCTTTGGATAAACTGAGGTGTTACTTGCAATTAATAAACATAATTTGATCTAATTGTTCAGTTTTATCATTCTCTGTTACTGCTGTATTCATTTTGTGTTTCTTGTAAGAGGCACAAGAAGAGTTTTAAATTATTGTAACTTCTCTGTGGGTTGTGACCCATGGCTTAACAAATAGTCCTCTAAATCATCTTCTGCTCTCCCACTTAGTGCATGCTGCTCACGAACTATGTGGAAATTGAGAAGTGTGTTCCAAGGCAGATTGTGCCAGTGTTGAATAGAACCGGCTTTATTCATGAATGCTTGTCTTGCCTTGTGTATATACATCAGAATACTTGTGGGTTTGATGCTTTGGTGTTTTGTTTTTTTTTTTCTTCCAGTAGTGTTATGTTTGTGTCTCTCTGTCAGTTTGTGGTCCAGTGTAGCCGCTCTTCTGCAGAGCTGCTCTTTAGTTGGTCATTCCCCATCTCTTGTTCAATTATTTATTTCCCCTGAGCACCATGCTTTGCCCCTCTTGAATTGGATCCTACTTGGATGAGATTCTTTGGTTTGTCAGAGTTGCTTTGCCTTCCAGGCTGTGTGCAGCCTTCTCTCAACTTGCTGCTACCCGCGTTCCCAGTCCATGTATTTTATTTTGCCTATACAGAACATGAATGGAAATTTTGGATTGCTCCAAGCTGAGCTTTTGAGCCCTCTCTGAAATTGCAAATATGCACCTAATTTAACTGTAGTTAAATTCATTACATGTAGTTTTTCTAGCTGTTCTTGTACCTGCTCAAAAGTGATTTCATCTGCAGCGTACTTTCCTACTTTAGGTATGAGAATGCTATGTGACCCAATGACAAAAGATGTTTTTCTTCTACCCACCAAGCTTGTTACCTGATCAGAGAGGAAAACTTGTAGGTCTCGCGCTGTTCCTGAGGACCTGGTGTTGCCTTTTATTTGTTATGTTGTATCTTAAATGCTTTATTTAAAAAGAAAAAAAATCTGCCTGTACTTGTTCCAGTATTTTTGAGTGTTTTGAAGTTGTGTTGACTGACCTATGAGTTTCTGGATTTGCTTTTCTCTCCATTTTAAAGACAAAAATGGTTTCATTTTTTTAGTGTGTTGGAACCTCACCTGCCTTGAGGGATGCCTCAGAGAAAGCTGTTAGAGGCCATTGTGCTGCTTAGGAAACTTAGAAAGCATTTAGGGATGAATTTCCTTAGATCTCTCCATGTTGGAACTATCCAGCTATGTAGTCTGTGATACATGGTTTTCCTATTGAAATCTGTTTCTTTTATCATTGCTGTATATTGAGTTACTCATGATTATACTTAACCTTTTAAATGATAGTGGAAGCAAAGAAGATACTAAACACCTTTTCGGTGTATTCCATTGTTAAGTTTCTGATCTTGCTGATTTAGCAAGCCTTCTTTGTAATCCTGTATGTTCTTTCCTTTCCTAGTTACATCTCATTTTATGTCTGGCAATTTTGACTTTTTTGTTCATTTATTTGTTTAAATAGAATTCGTCCTTGGGCATGGCCCTGTGTCTTCCAGGCAGCAGATAATGCCAGCAGAGCAGGCACTGCAGGGCTTCGCTGCTATTGCCTTGCTTAACATGGTCTTGGACTCTTTCAGCTTGCTTACACAGCTCCTGTTCTGGTCTCCTGTTTGCTGGCTTTTAAATTCTGTCTGTTTCAGCCCATCTCTCTCCAAAGGTTTCATCTATTCAGAGAAATAGACTTTGCTGGAACTTTAAAATGGTTTTGCCCCAGTTTGGAAAAAAGGAAGAGAAGGTCAAAACTTCCCTTGCAGCAGCTCATCTAAATCTTACCAACTCCCCAGCTGGGCTTTTTAGTGTGTGTGTTTGTTAATAGTAAAAATAAATGTTAAAACATACTACTAATAGTGTTTACTACTCAACTTAGAAGTTGATTTAATGAAAAATGAAGTAACATACTCTAGATGTATAGGTAAGTAAAGTATACATGTCTTTGAGTGCACTGTTATGAAAGTGTATTGTTCATGAATGTAAGATGATGCTCTTCAAAACTTCTCTATTAATAATCTGCTTTTCATTTTACAGCGTACACAGCTCAGGCAGATGAGAAGGCAGTCCCTGCTACTCCTAGAGATGCTAACGCCAGAGCCATATTGGTTTGCAGTGGACCTTTAGAACATTATGACTTCCTCATAAAGCAAGAAGAGCTGAGGAATGATGAACATCAAAGAAGAGTTGTGCAGCACCTGCAGAAGTTGCATGAGAGCCTTAAAGGCTACAGCATCAGTTCAAAAAATCTTTTCTCAAAGGTGAGCTTTGTAATGATAAAAATATTTTTTTGCAATTGTATTTGTTCATAAGAATGTGCTTATAAATACATAAATTTCTATCATTAACATGAGTCTTTTCTGCAGTTCGGTCTTTACAGGTAGAGCATTGTTTCTTTTGGATCACTGTTCTTTCTTTTTTGGTTTGTAAAGTTCCAGTGGCACTCTAGAAGCAGCCAAATTAACTATTATTGAAATAATTCTGTAAGAAAATTTGATAGGATTTTGATTGTGTCCACTGACTGCGTTTTCCAATACGTCATTTGGCTATAGGAGAGAGGGCCTAGACCAGGTTTTAACTCTCAAGTGCTGGTGTAACGCGTGTATGTTTGGATTACACATACCAAACACTGATGTTTTGTGTTCTAACAGATCTTCCATGAATATAGGTGAAATTAGTCAGCAGAGTCTAAATAATCCAAGGTAAATAATTTAGCTTTGTAAAACATTACAATATAGATGAGACATGACTTTTTTAAAAAAAGTCCATTCTTTCCAGTGTCATTAGTCTCTAGCTGAGCTAAGGAAAGAAGACAGAGGTGTGATCTGCACCCTAGACGTGGTTTTGGGGTCATTACAGATCCTTTTTACCGCAATAACAAAAATTCAGTTACATCGCTGTTGCACAGTGCCTTAGCAGCTCTGTAACTTATCCCTGAAGCTGTTGGCGCAGTGTCTGGCAGAGCCTCTGTGGCAGTTATTTTTTGTGTCTTGTTCTCATGCTGTTATTCTCAGACTGTTGCTCTTGTGGCCTTGCACCTGCAAATCCTGATAGCGTTGTTATGGCAGGTTCTCGTGGGAAGCAACTAGAACTGGTGTGAGAATCTTCCCTCAGCTTTCCCTGCCTCTTGTTTTGTAGATTTGAGTTTATATCCCAGAAGACCAAACATTCTGCCCAGCGAAGTAGATAGTAGTCATTTAAATACTTGGTAAACATAAGGCAGTCACAGATCTGCACAGAAGCTGGATGACCAGTGAATATGCTTCATGTGCACCTGATTAACTTACTGCAGTCAGCACAAATAGTGATGAACATGGTGGGGAAAACAAAAACAATAGGATGTTCGACTGAGTCTGGTGATAAAAGTATAGTGCTGGGAAAAAAGCACAGCAAAATATTCATCATTGTCATCTTCTTAATTTTTCCTGCCTGTGCTGGAGAAACACCTCCCTACACCTGAGAGTGGATGTCTAGAAGCTGTCACTGCCCCTCCCAGCCAGGCACTGAGTGTTCTCGTTTTTCTCTTTCTCTTGCACTACTTTTGTTTTTATTTTATTTGCCAGAAGTAACTCACATTTACAGTCAATATGTATGCCATCAGCTGCAGACCCTGCTAATAGATCTCCGCGTCAGCCTTTGTCAGCATCTGTCTGCAATACACCCCATCTCGTGGGCATAAATCTAGATATCTAACTGTTGGATTTGTTATGTAGCCATATAGTTCTTATTACAACCCCAAATTCTCCTATTACCTGACACAAATACTGCATTTTGTTTGCATAGTGGGTGTAAATGATGTAGCTTGAGATCAGAGGAGCCAAACCCTACAGGGCTCAAGTGCCTCTAAATGATGTACTGCCCTCTAACCTTTAGGTAGCAAATGACAAGTTACTGCTCCATGGCTTTTGCAATGTATGTTAGCTTCAAGGCACTTAAAAATTGAGCAGAGAAGAGAACATTGGTATGAAAACAAGTATTATACCTGTAAATGACTTGTGTTATGCTTGTGAATATGTCTGTTTCAAATCGGCAAGTATAGATAAGTGCAGAGTATTTGGGCACGTATTTGCTTATCAAACTGCCACCAACACCCCTTGAGTGCTTTAAACGCATATTTGTAGCTGGAGATCGTGTATTTGCTAATCATATGCTTGCCTGGAAATACTGTAAAAGTCTTCCTGCTTCCTGATGAGAGGAAGCAGGCTACATACCTGGGAAGGAGCTGCTTTTTTGTCGTTTGTTTTGTTTGTTTGTTTTGTGGGGTTTTGTTTGTTTGGGTTTTTGTTTGTTTGTTTTGCATTTGTGTGGTGGGTTTTTTTTAGTTTGTTTTTTTAATTGACATAGAGTGAGGAGAAACCTGAAGGGGAAATAATTCCTTGGAGCAAAAGTCAGGCACTCTGGAAGGAAAAACACAAGAGTGGGGAAGTGCAGGAAGCAAAGTGCTAAAGCAGCACCAATCCTAGAGGGCAATGAGCGTGTCTTTGGAAGGAAATTCTGTTCTGAAAGCAGTTAACATAGCCTTAAACAGGGGGATTTGGCTGTGTGATCCCATGAGGTCTCTGCCAACCTAAATCATTCAACGATTTTAACTCTAATGTGGGAATTGGAACCAAGCAGTGTTTTGGGATATATTTTTGCCTGTTCTGGCTGGTGGGTCAGCTCATCACATTACTTCCCTTTTAACTTCTGGGATTTCTTTAATGAAAATTACTAAAAGCATAGGAACAATGTACACATGACAGATAAAGTCTTAAAAGTGTATGTTTATGGTATTTCAAATAATTTATTTATATTGTATGTGGGCGTGTGCTTGGGGCTCCGTATTGTCCTGATGCCTTTGTAGGATAACTCTTGAATCTAAACTGGCCTCCTGGTTCAGTTTGGGCAAGTACCAAATGAAAAAATAGACATTTCCTCCCTCAGAAATGGTTATTACTGATCTTTGGTATCTAAAGTAGTATGGGAGTGTGCCTGAAAGAACTGCTTTTGCGTAATCGTAAAGAGATCAAACTGGTTTCAACTTGCTAAACTTTTGTAGGTGTAATCAAGTAGGCCAGAGTTTTGCATCTTGAGGATGCTCAATGTGAAAAGTTGTGGGTTTTGTTTTTTGGTTTTTTGTTTGTTTTTTTTTTTTACCTGTCTGGGCTTCATTTTAAGCTTTGGTGTTGGGCTCATAATCTTTTAAATTGGCTATCTCAAAATTGTCTTTAGACACTGTATCTGGACTGTGAAAGAGAAGGTAACTCAAAAGGAAGCCAGTTACCTGGCTTGCTTCTATGTGATCTTTTGGATACACTGTCAGACTTTTATTCATTTTCATTCTTTAGAAAAAATGTTATGATGAAGGCATTGGTCTTACCATCAAACCTGAGGATCAGTCAGCCAGAGCATTTTGATCTTTTCTGATAAACTGCTCTGGACATTAGATATTCTGTTCTAAAAGCCCTGCCTGTGAGCATAGTTTTGAGAGCTGACTTGTGTTAACTGGAATGCCCTGAATCATTATAGTTGTTAGAGCAGGTGTCTTGTAATGGCTTTGTAGATCAAGCATTATGTGGGTTTGTTATTTACTGTTTGTTTGATTGGGAAGTATGAATAGGGAAGAAACTCTCTATTGCAGAGAACAAATACTAATCTTATTCTATTTAGGAAATTGTGATGCTACTTTGTCCCTGTATAACAGAGCTAATCACAGTAAAGCCAGCCTGACTGACACTTTCTTAAAAGGAAGAAGTCAAATGCCATTTTTTAGGTTGAGAATGTGGTTTTCAATAATTCCTTTAAGGCACTCCACTCTTTCATTTAACATTGCTGCAATTCCATGCTTGAATTTTAAACAAGTTTTTAAAAATATTGCATGGCTCGGTGTTACCTGGGAACTAATGCCACCGTCAATGAGAAGCAACTGTAGAGCTACTTGCTATTGGGATAAGTGTTGTTGCAATTTGAGGTGTTTCTCCTAGAGCTTGATATCTCTGTGGAATTCTTAATAAGGCTGATAACCAGGTTGAGGACTATGGTGCTGTGTCATACATCAAAACCCCAGAAAGAAGGAGAGCAATGAGTTTTGTGTAAATCTGTTAAAGCCCCCTAGCTTGCGTTATTCAAATCATGATTCATGATGGAAAAGTCGCAACATCTTTATTTCTCTTCTGCTATCTTTGAGGAAGTTATTTGCCAGTTCAATCAGAGCTGCTTTTGACATAAAATGAAGCCAAGTAACGTATGGTTTAAATTCTAGTGCAGGCCAGGTTTTGCTTCAGCAAAGTTGTAATCAACATCCCTAATGAAGGTTGTCCCACTGTCACAGCTGTGAACAGGTAGCTGGTAAAATCAAAGCCATCAAGCACTCCACTGTAGGCAGTGGCATCATATGCTTGTTGTGTGTCTGCATCTGTTGAGGAGTTTTCTCAGTAAACAAAATATGTTTTTCTATCATGGCCTTTCATGGTAGGGATGCTGTTGTGACTTGGTTTGGTTTTGAAGAGCAGAAGAAGGCTTTTTATGCCAAGGAGAGGTGGTAGGTACTGCTCTCTGGAATCAGCCTAGGTTTAATAGGATTTGTGTAGGCTTATGGGTGGAAGTAGTTCATGTAACTGAGAGAAGGCATCTCCAGGAAGTACTAAGGATAAATCCTGTATTCCTGAATAGCTCGCTAGCACCATCCTACCGTGAAGGACTGGTACTTTGTAACTTTGAATATGCTATGCTGTAAAATACAAACATTATACTATAGCCATTAACAGCTGTTTTTATGATAAAATGATTGGCATTGATTTTGCTTAATGTTTTGTACTTAATGAGTTTTAATAGATGTAAACGAAACAAATTAATGTATTATAAACTACTTAAGGACTTTTTGGAAATAAGTCAAATATTTTAATCAGTTACACATAGTAGTTTGTAGATTGGCTTTTTGCTTTTTCAGGAGGCTTCTAGCAACTTGACTAACCTACTTTTAGTATGAAATCTCCTGTGTTGAAAAGAATCTATTGGCAGCTTGTTAGAAATAAAAAATAATGGTGCTCGACATTTCAAGCATGCTCATTTTTCCTGGCTCTCCATTGAAGAGAATGTGGATGAGATGTTGCAGGGAAGAAAAGCAGGGAGAGAGAGGGGGAGAGAGAGATATGCCCCTCTCTGCAAGCCTCTTCTGTAGTCTTATAGTCCTTATTTTATTGCCTGTTTTCTTCTGTGATAAAATTGCAGAAGCCTCTTCTAAAATAAGAGCTATTCCAGAAATAAGAACTTCTTGCACTTTTGAACCATTAGGAGAATGGTCTGCTTTGTTTTTAGTTTTGTTCTTCACTTGTCACTTTCGGTCTTAGTAGTTTTGTTCACTAAAAATATGGTTGAAGTAGGATTAAGGAACAAATATTTGTATCAGATACAATAGAAGCATTTCAGTGTTCATGAGAGCCTTGCATTACCTCACGGGCCAAAGCTTTCTGAAATCAGTAGTGGGGGGCACAACACGTGACACCAGCCGTTTCCTTTAGGATGATAAAACTGTATTTTTGTTATGATGTAGAATTTTTGGGGCATCATCTTAGAATTAATTTGAGGGAAAAAACCAATTAGTCTTGCTGCAAACCAAGTAGGCTTCTGTTTCTCGAAATTATTACTTAAATTTGAACAATGACTTTGATCTTCAACTTGGTGAAAGCATGGCCTTGTATGTTGAGATATTTTGAGATTCTCTGAATTGAAGTTCAAGGCCATAAGAGTTTGCATAGACGTTTCAGATCTCTAGCTTTTCAAAATAATACCAATTGGGGCATCTTAAGAGTCGTTGAGTTGCTGTACTAATGACTTGAAATAAGCTCAATTATAAGTGAGGCCGTGTTTTGAAAAGAGGTATGAACAATAGGCAACACCATTCAAGACCTTGAAAATGTCTTCAGCAACAACAGCAGCCAAAAGGAGGTCTGAAGGAGTGGGAGAAAGAGGCAGTTTTGTTAATGTTTAAAAGAAAATCTGCTGTTTGGAGACTTGTCTCTTGAATTTTGCATATTTTAATTAGCCACCTTAGTACTGACATGTGTTTTCACCTAAAAGTTCCTCAAATCAGTGTGTAAATATTCCCACGAAATCAGTTGCTTGCTTCTGGTGTCTGGGGCAGGGAGTATGGGAGAAAGTGGGAAGATGTTGCACATAGTTAAAGCTGTTTAAGAAAGAATAAGAAGTTGTCAGAATGAAGTAGATGTTTTGGCCAGTGTAATTCCTTAGATGAGGTAGGATATTGATTGATTAAAATGAAGTTTAAACAAAAAATAAAAATCTGACGTGATAGAATCCACATGCAGTTTTGCAACAGAAATGTGTGGAGCATATTGATAGTAAAGCAGCGAATTCAGTAAATCTGGGGGCACTAACGTGTGCGTCTTCTCGTGGAATTGTCATATTTTTAGCGTATGAATGTTTTTCAAAGAAAAGTCTGTAAGTCAACTGATCTGTAGAAGGAAAAAAGGCTCCTGCTGTAGCATGTCCTGAGGATAATGAAACTCAGTGAACCACTTCAGTTATGCTTTCTTAAGTTATTGCAAAGAATGTTATGGGAATTAAGCAACTTTGAGGAGTCAAGTGATTTGACACATTTGTGGTGATGCTCTCATTTGAAAGGATGTGATGAGCATTCAAAATGTGTGTTTATAGATTCCTTCCCTTCACACTCAAATTTTGTATGTCATAGAATCATAGTAATACCTTTGGTTTTCTGCAGTTTAAATATTAGCTTTAACATCCTTAGACGTCATTGTTGCAGAAGTAAATCTGTTGTCAACCAAATGAAAGTGATTATACTGAGACCCCAAATACACCTTGGGATAATATGGAAGCAAGAAGCTCATTCGTTTAGTTTGTCTTCCTAGATCTCCCACTTTTCTCCATTCCCTCCCTGAAATAGCAAGAATACCTTTATTTTAGGGTAACTGGAGGATCTTCTGTGTTGGATCCAACCTCTCCCTTGTTCTTTCGCAATGTGTGTTTCAACAGAACCAAGATCAGTCTGCAGCTGCTTTGTCTCCACATGCTGCTGTCTTCCCTGACTGCTTGCTGTGCTCTACGTTGAACCAACAGCATTGACTGGATTTTTATCAGAAATCCTAGGAGAAGTTGCTCTCTTTCTTATGCAACTTCCAGGTTTCAGAAGATGCATGAGAATAATTTAAAAAAAACCAACCAACATTAAAAAAAGAAATCTATTTAATGATCATGCAGAATAGCTTGAGACTGGTAGGATGTCTGAGTTTCAGTATTAGAAGTCTACTGATGGAGTTTACTTTTTAAAAATAAAATATATGTTAAAAAAAAATCAACCCAGGGATATAAAAATAATTTTTTGATGCTATACAGTACCTGACAGGATTGAGGAAGAAAGTATCCTAAAACAGTGTCAATAGTGTCACTTCTGGGAGAAGTATATGTAAAATATTTCCTACAGACTCCTTTAATTGCTCAAAGAGGATAAGACTTTTTCTGGCATTCACTTTGCTTTCAGAGATAATCAGCTTCAGCAAATCTGCTTGGATCTGCCACAGTATCCATCAATTTTTTTCTTTAGCAATTAGGTATCATGCAAAAATTGCTGTCTTCACATAGAACCCCCAACTAATTCCCTTTTTAAAATGAACCAGAAGTTGAGAGGGAGCCCAAGCCATTATATTTGTTTCCTTTAGCAAAAAAAAAAAAAGCAAACCCAACCTTTTTCTGTAACATGTTTTCTAGAAATGGTAAGTACTGGAGTGAGAAAAAGATATGCCTAAAAAGATGAATTTCAAGAGGGTTAAACATAATTAATGAACAATTTACAATGAAACAAAGTGGTGTAAAAATGTAGGCATCACTACTTTGTCTGGTTATGTAACCTTTACAAAGAGAGGTGAAGCAGTGCCCTGAACATTGCTTTGATTTTCCTAGCTTGGTGTCATTCCTTGTGAAACTGCAAATCACATTAATACACCCTTTTTATGTAATAAATCTAATCTGATAGTCTTGTGTTAAATGACTGTTGATATAAAATGAAAAATAAATTCTTACGAATGTCTCTAATTTGAATCTTTTTCCATTTCTCCTTTCTTCACTGTGTAACTTTGAACATCGGTAGTTTTAATGAGTGCAAGCTCTTAAAAAGTACATGCTGAAAAATGTTTGTCAATTAAATAGTCTTGCAGTGCTTTGAAAGCACTAGCAAATAGTTACAGCCTTGGCTATTAACGGAACAGTTTCAGAACATCTGAAACCCTGTTCAGCCACAGATTGATGGTACCAATTTTTGATTATCCTATTAATATAGCTCTAAATTAAATCTGTAAGTGGATCTTTTAGATAAGAGCTATGCTTGCATATTTTCTGAATAAACTGGTACTGTAGACCTGAGATATTATGTGCCTACCTTTCAAACATATATTTTCTTTCATATTTAATTAGTGTTTTGCTACTGACTCCCCCATTTCTTTAACATGGCGCTGTAATTTGAAAAGTGCTTTAGATTCAAGTTGTTTAGCAATTACCCAGCACCAAATGAGACCAGGGGGCTGCAGTTTTAATTTTCTTCTGTTTTGGCTCAGCTCATACAACTCTGAAAGTAGAGCACTTTCAAATGACCAAATGCTCTTCTGCAGTGTTTTTGTGGATGTCAATTCAGTTTCATGGATTTGATGAGAATTTTGTTAAGATTTCCTTTTTTTTTAGAAACTTTTTTTTTTTTAAATTATATTTGGAAGTGACTATGCACAGTACTGGGGGGAGAGGGGAGAACTGTTTCAGATTGAAAGTCTTGATGTTATTGTAAGTTTTCCTATAAAAATATCTCTTTGAGTAAAATAGAATAAACTGTCAGGTATCATAAAACAGTCCTGAGTAATAGTAAGAGTTTAAAAATTTTTAAGCAGTATTCATGCAAGATAAACATAAGTCACTTGAGAAAATTATTAATAGAAGGCATACTTTGAAAATAACATATATATATATACACACACACACACACACACACGTGTGCATGCACGTGTATATAGGCACACATTTTTACTGTGACTTCTGGTTTTAGTCAAGTTTAAACCAGAGATAATTCTGCATTTAATATTCACAGTGGAGAGTAAGGGGACCTGCAATACTCACTGACTTTGCAATGCTGATTTTCTGTATTATAATAGGTATATAGAGCATATACCTATGAATACTACAATACTGCTTAATTTTATATCCTATTTGTTAAATGACTTGATGAAGAAAAGGGGTTGTTTTGATAATGATGGATTGGGAAACATTTAATCGTTTTATGTGTGTTCTGGTAAAGAGACACTGGGATATTTTCACAGGGATCTAAAAAACTCCCCTAAACTCTGCATGTGTGTGTGGCCTTTCTTATAGAATTCACACAACTACAATGTTAAGATTGCTTACCAGTTCTGAGCTAATGATTTATTTAAGTTTACACTTTGCTAGCTCCTAGTACTTTGATGGTTAAATGTAGCTACTTTCTTACTTTGGCACAGCAATGTGCCTGCTTTTACTTTACCCCATATTAGTATCCTTTTTTTTCTTGATTTGCAGCTCTTTGCAAAAACCAAAGCGCCAAAAGGTCTTTATGTCTATGGAGATGTGGGTAAGTTTCAGCTGCATCGGTTCCAGTGGAATTTTCTCTAACTGCATGCTTATTCAAATTCTGAAGTGTCTAAAAGCGTCACGTTTATGTAGCTTTATTGCTTTAATGAATTTTCCAGGATTAGTTTTTTTTCCACATTATCATGTTTTTTAATACAATTACATTCTGAAGTCTGGAAGCTGTTGGATTGGACTACATTGCCGTGTATAGTTTTTTCCAGTGTTACCCACTCACTAATATTTAAGAATGCAGTTTCAGAATTTGGGAAGTAATTGAGAGGGCCGCAGAGAGAATTTATATGTTCTGATTGCAACAATGCAGCATGAAAACATAATCACTCTTCAAAAGGAAATACTGAAGATGTTTTCTAGATGCATATGGAGCCATTTGTGTAACTTCTGTGCCATCTCTGTGTGGGTCAAAATTTTAAAACAGAAAAATAAAAACGCAGTTGGTCAAGGTTTTTGAACAGAAAATGTAACTGTACTTCACAAACAGTCTGGTCTTGTACTTACTCTGTGGTATAGTTTCATTTGTTCAAAGCTAGTGGACAATCATTATTGTAATCAGTACATACTGTTCTTAATAATACTGTTGGGTGTGTTTTTGTTGTTTTTTTTATTTGAAGGCACAGGAAAGACAATGGTGATGGACATGTTCTATTCTCACTTAGAAGTAGAAAGGAAAAAGAGAGTCCATTTTCATGGCTTCATGCTAGATGTACACCAGAGTAAGTGCAGACACAGGTATTCACAAGAATGTTATAAAATACAGTATCTGTGAAAAACGTCTGTCTCATTCATAGTAGTCAGTGTAACTCTATTTAAGTATCTAAGCAAAAAAGAAAAGAGATTAAGTTAAGGCTTTTAGCATTGTCTGTCATACCAGACTAGATATTAATTGTGTATTACTTCTCAAGTATCTCTTCTCAAAGATTCTGTATACCTGATTGTATAGAAAACTTGGGTGTATATTTAGGATTAAATCCTTAACTAAATGGTCTTCAGTTACCAATTAGCTTACATGCTGAAGAAGGCAATTACTAAAACTGAAACAGTAAAGGTTAAATTAAATCTGCATTTTGAATAAGCAATAATTAAATAATGCATAAACTGCAAAGGAGAATGAGAACTATTCTGGTTGGCAAACTTAGTAATAATCTCAGTAATTTAAAGGAAAAAATAATAGAAGAAAGTTCATCCTGAAATTTTCTAACAGGGTGAATAAGGCACTTTGTTTTGACAGAGATACTGGTTTAGATATTTTAAAATTTGCTTCTCTTCCTAAATTCTGTGACCTTAAAATACTATGAAATTTTTAAACAATACTGTAATTTACAACTATCATGATAGCTACGTTTTCTTGGGAAGTTTTAATGGTTGTAAACAACTTCTGCCACTTTTAGGGCCCTCTTTTTCTATCATCACTGGGTCACTTGAGTTGTTTTGTTTCCGTTTCTTGTTGTTTGTGCTTAACAGATGTACCTTCTTACTGAAGGGTCTTTATTTTCCAAATGTTTGTTATTAGGCAGATGGAATACAATCTACAAAATAGTAAAGTATGTATGTAATAATCTTTGTGCCAGTATCATCATCTTCACATTTGAAAATATAACTGTGTTGCTGTGTCCGAGGTCTTTTAACTAAATGCATTCTAACTTCAGAGCATGCAGTACACAGAGCTCTGCCATTGACTTGTAAATATCATAAGGGTTTTTCGTATTCAGAGAGAAGATTAAGACAGAAAATGCCAAATTACAAAGTGAAACTGAAACTAAGGTCATGAATTGGAGCAAGATAAAAACTGTAATTTATATAATTAAAAAAAATAGATATAGGTGTTTGATAGCAGCATTGAAGGGTTCTTTGATTTTTGTCTTACATATTTCTAGACAAGAATATACAAATTGCAGAATCTGTGAGCTTTTAATAGTTGTCTGGATGTGGCTGAAAACTGTTTTGCCCTCTTGAAATTGCACTGAATTTGAAGCTTGCTTATTTTTACAGGACTAAGTTACTTTTTATTTGGTGGCTAAATAGTTTTGTTCTCCCTGTCTTGGAAAAAGAAGTATTTGATCTTTTCTGTTTTATCAACTCAGGAATACATCGCCTTAAGCAGAGCTTGCCAAAAAGAAAGCCAGGATTTATGGCCAAATCATATGACCCAATTGCACCAGTAGCGGAGGAAATAAGTGAAGAGGCTGCTCTCTTATGTTTTGATGAATTTCAGGTAAGAAGTCAGAGATTACTCCTTTGCTTCAAGGAAAACTTCATAAAATTTCTTTTAATCTTACAATATAACACTTGTTACTGCTAATACAGGATTTGAATCAGTGTGATTAAGGATGTGGAAATAACATGTCAAATTCAACCTAAATTCATTCTTAGGGTTATTAGAGCCTTTGGCGTGGCAGTGGCAGATTATATCAATATAACTAACATTTTAAGAGACTCTTATTTAATGAAACATGAAAAATAAAAATAAATTAATTATGTGATCTTTGCCCAAGCTAACTTGGTTGTTTCATTTGCCTTACACAGCTTGTGAATTTTGTTTTAAGTGCATGTCACAAATTCAAGTCTCGAATTGCTTTATACAAGTTTTTAGGAGACAGACTAATGGTATTTGTCAGCTCTAATCAGCTGAGATTTTTTTTTTAATTCAGAGAAAATGCAGAGCAAGAATAGATCTACGTTAGCTCTCAAATCACCAATAGTAAAGGAATAACGTCTTAAGTGTAAATTGTCTGTGTTATGCTCTTAAATTAATATATTACTGAAATGGATAGAGCAATTTATATCTCCTAGCATTAGGATTATTTTACAAGCCTGCGCACCCGAGAAAATACCCAGTTTATGATCAGCTCCTGTGAAGGGGATTTTTGTAGCTGTAAAGCAGTAGGTGTGTTTTAGTTACTCTTGCATTTTTCAACAAGGGGTGGTCCTCTGATCTGTGGTTTCAGAACATGTGAGGCCATTGCAATTTCATTTAAATTGTGCTTTATCTAGTGAATGTGAATCCTGATCTTACAAAACTTGCAGTATAAAATCTCAATACAGACAGTTTTATTAACACTATGAAGAAATGGGAAGATTAGGAGGGGCGGGGAGGAGCATTGACTGTCATGACATCAAATGCTCTGATGGTGGAAAGAGGCATCTTTGGGGTACTGTGTATTGGTGTAAATACCTGCTTTGCTATATAAATGCCCACTGCTTTCATATCCTGGTGTTTCTGTGTTTCCAGACTGCCTGTTATGTTTCCACATTTTAAAGGGTGAGACTGGTGGTATTTTTTTGTTTCCAAATTGATTGCCTGCTCCCCCTGCTGACTTGCTTAAGGTACACAATCACTTCAGTAGTAAAAATCACCTGTTTTTTCTTGGTGAGCCACAGTTGGGCAAGTATGGTGAGAACTATACTTTAAAAATTGTTTCTAGGACTTTGGATTCTTATGTGAATTTAAAAAATCTAGTTATTCTGGTTGTACTAATGTTCTAATTTCACAGATTTCTCAATAGCTGGATTTCTCGACTGATTTTCTGTAACATGGAACGCTATGCAGGCTTTGCCTACTGTAGAGGAGTCTCAGCTTTCTGAAATTTTGCAGAAGGCACTGAATTTTGGATATGAAACCTCCTGCTTAAATAGTTAAGTAGTTAAGTAGTGCAGTGACTGCAAGGGCAGCTCACATAGTGACACAGCTGACATTGATAATAAGGAGCCACATCTCATTCAGGATGCTTGCAGCTCATTTCCCCAGTGGAGATAATGGCCAGATTTCACTGCAGTCTGATTCACTCATGTTTAAGGAATTGCTAGAGTAAGGTGAAACTGGAAAGAGCTGGAACCTCAGAGCATACACCACTGTGACTTGCAAACAAAGCTACTGTCTGTTTTGACAGATGGGTAGCCAAGTTGGGTCTGTACTACTTTGGAAAATAGCTTTGTGTGAAGGAATTATCAGAAAACTATTGAGATTTGCTTGAAACACTTCAGGGTGCTTTCAAATACTCGTTGGAAAAAATGGAGAATAAGCTGAAAATATTTATTTATCTTAAGATCAGGCACAGGGATGAATGATACTGTAAGAGGGACAGTAAAAAGTAGTGTTAATGCTCATATTTCAGAGGAAATAAAATGCAGAACTTCAGAAGACAAAAGCATTGCTGAGGTTGCACATTCCTCTGACAGTGGGTAAAGCAAAACAGAAGGGCTCTGAAGTGAATCTTACTGCGAAGCCTAGAGAAGAAGTGGAGAGTTGACTAATTGATGTAGAAAAGTATTTCACTACTTCTAAAAGTAGTTTTGTGTGTTCCAAAATATTGTTGTATTAAAAACCCAAAAAAGTAATGTGTCTTAAGTGTTTCTTTTTGCAGATACTTTGTGATAGCCGGGACCTTAGTAGTGGCACTGAGCTTCTGAGTTTGTCTGTTCTGAAGCTGGCTTTTCATCAGCATTTGCCTGAGCCCCAGGCTCTTGGGTTATTAAAGCATTGCTGCTTCTTACTGATCTTTGTCATACAGTTTACTGTAAATATTATTTTTTTATAAACCACAAAATTCTGAAGCCATTCTAAAGATGTGTCCTCACTTTGAAGAAAAACCCTAAAATGAAGCCATTTGTTATTACAACTTTCATGTTTCAGAACACAGAGGTTGGCCAATAAAAAGAGACTAGTTATTGTTTAGTGATCAAATAACTACACACAGGTAATTAGAAGCTTTAATTTTGGCATGTGACTGTGATAATGAAAACAGAATCCCTACTTCTTGTAAAGCTGGATGATCATATAGTCTTTATTGGTACCATTGGTACCACTTGGACTGAAAGGAAACTACCATTTAGGGAGGTTTTACTATTGCTATGCTATTAAAAGCCTCTAATAAAAATTAGGCTCTTATTTTTGTGCTAATACTAATTACCGGTAATACATGCTTATGTTTGTCATTCATTACGTGGAACTGTACCAATCAGTGGATGGCTGAGTCTCAGACACTTACACATGTAAATTAACTTGTCTAGTGTTTTTTCTTTTTTTCCTTTTTTTTTTTTTTAATCTGAGTCATAATGGAAAGCAGCACTAGGTCATAAAATCTTTTCTCTTAAATGCTAATAAAATTTCTCCATTCTCTCCATTAGCAGGTTCTCCTTATTGGTAATTTGTAGCCTTTGCTTTTCTTTCGTGTTGCAATGTATGCTGGATACAGTAAAAAACATGAGAAATGACAGTGTTTTAGTTACTGTCTTTTACCTGCTTTACCTTGTAAATTTTTCTGTCTTTCCTAAGCTGCATTAGATAAGAAGAGCTCATATTTGCATCTCAGTTCTCAAAATGGCTCTTGCTTTTTGACAGAAGTTTCAAGAGGTTTTGTTTTGTTTTGTAATGGAATTGAAAACAACAGAATTCCACATCAAATAGCAGTTCTCATTCATAAGAAAATGTTACTAATTGTTTTCCTTTATGTGAGCATTAATATTCTTTCTCTCCCTATTTTCTAAAGGTAGCATGCCTTATAGTATTTTTAAACGAAAAACGTTTGCAACAAAATTATTTGTATAATTTGTGATAAAAGAAATTAATTTATCACTAAAAGGCACATACATAGACTGATTCCTTGTGGGTCTTGTTTTTTAGGAACAAGGAAAGTTCCTAAATTTTGGTATTCAGAAGAAATAATCGATAGGTGGGTGCATAAGCAGATACATTAGACGTATAGTACAGTAGTGAATTACTACGTGGTTCTTGGAGTATCGGATCTTAGTGATCAGAGATGTTCAAATCTGAGGGGTGATCATGTAAAAGGCTTTGGTTTTGAAAAATTAAAAATATTTCCATATTAATGCATTCTGTAGAACGAATTAGAAGAAATCTTTGGAAGAAGGAAAGTGGTGTTTACTTGTGTTTCTTTATGAACCTTAGCTGGCAGAAATGTAACACAAGTCTGTTGCTGTCTCTAGTGCAGAAGTAAATTTTTTTTGCTGCTCAGAAAGTTCCTTTGGAAATGGGGGATGATGGAGGGTGGAGTGGTGGTGGAGTAGGGAAAAATTTACACCGGTTAAAGTCTTTCTGTAGATGTGTAACCACCACAACACACGCATCTGAACTGGCACGAGCACCGCAGTCTGTCAGTCTGGTGTGCGATGGGTGCGTGGAACTCTCAGCATGCCACTGCTTTTTATTTCCTCGGAACTGGGGTCTGTTTTGGCAAGTCAAAACGCAACAAGTGTCTAAATAATAATCAAAGGAAATGCAGGAGAAACAAGTGTAATGGTAATCAAGACAGTTTACTTATTAGAATTGCTGATCTCAGCTGGTGAACTCCTGCAAACTATAAATTGCTCTTGTAACAATGGGTCTTTTCACAAAAAATAATTACATTTTTTCATTTGTATAGTGTGGTTTCTGTTTCCTTTTATTTCTTGGTCCTGTAAAGCAAGTTTGTTAAGATAAATGTAGATATTTAAAGAAATTCTACTTTATGGCTTATTTTTCAGTCTCCCCCACCCCCAGTCTCACTTGTCCCACCCATTTTTATTTTTTATTCCTTTTGTGCCTGAAGGTTAGAAGAGGCTGACTGTGCTGGAAGTGACTGCCGTGCCTTTTGATTATTCATGGACAGTAATAGAAGGCACTTAAAAAGAACAATGAAATTGCTTATTTTTGTGATGGGCCATCTGTTGAATTGTTTTTTGCAACAATCACACAATAGTATCTATGTCATATCATTCTATTTTCAACAGCAGCTGATTATGTATAGTTGGCTACTTGTCTTTATTTCTGAAGTCTCATGACCATTTAAATTCACCTCTGCAAACCTTTGCCTCAAAGGTAATAGAAGTGTAAAACGGTCGGTGTGTATTTTCTTTCTGCTGTTTTTTTCCGTGTTGTTTCTAATTAATTAGGCCTCTTAAATGTTTAGGTCTGTTTTCTGTGTCTCCCACCTGTAGTTTCATAATAGAAGTTAACATGAAATCATTTAGCAATCGGTAAAGAAATGGTGGAGTTCCTCAATAAAGAGTGGGCAAGTTGTGAAAGACTGTGGTGCATTCACTGCTTATTAATTATCCCTTTTATTTTTTGTCACCAAGCAATAATTAGAATATTTTTCCACGGCTTTCACTAACAAGCATTTTTGCTAGCTACAAAGCCACTTGCAGCTCTATTGCGGCAGAAGCTGAAAGCAAGATAAAACAAATGTGTTGTCTTCTGCAGGTCACTGACATTGCTGATGCCATGATTCTGAAGCAGCTTTTTGAAAATCTGTTCCAAAATGGTGTTGTCGTTGTGGCAACATCGAACAGGCCGCCAGAAGGTAAAAACAAACACGCTACTAGTGTTATCCAAATACAATGAATCTCAGTATCTTACAAAACAATCATAGTAAAATCATACAGTAGTTAATACTATTCAAGTCTCTAGTCTTCAAGAATCTGAGATATTCCAATTTGTCCCATTTTTTGTATACTTAAGGAATAAAGGTTTTTCAACTAAGTCTTACTCCTCTATCCTCTCAAACTCAAGGTGTTCCTCCTCCCACCTCCCTCCAAATCCTTCCATGCTTTCTGATCTTCTCTACCCTATCCAAACCAGTGAGAGGGTAGGGAGTTGAGAAGGAGTGAAATATTGCTTCTGCTTTGGACGTTTTCCAGGATAGCAAAAGATCATATTCTACAGATGAGAGGGGAAATCAGAGTACATTTCTTCCCAGTTTCTAACTCGGAAACTGGCAGACTTTATCCACTGGCTCAAAGGAGAGCCCCTTACCAAGATGCCATCCTCACAGCCTCGTGGTCACTCATAGGGAATTACTTAGGTGGAGAGTTGTTTCCATTTCTAACAATGTTTTTTGATAGAGAGTTAGTAGTTAAGTAGATCCTTCCCAAAGTCTGCAAATCTGTATGGGTTTTAACAAAACAGCGTAATTTTTTTTTTGTAGAGGAGAATAATGTTTGTTATAGTGTAGCATTAGCAGTTAGCATAATGCATAATTTCTGTGCAACTTCTATGAGACTTTAGATGGATTAATTTCAGATATTTGCAAAAAATACTGGGGAGTTAATTTTTCTACCCAAATTAGTTGAATAAAGAGAATCACCGAAGATTTACAATGTTTCCTTATCTTTTTTTTTCTTTTTAAAATAAAGTACATGTAAATATTTTTACTAGAGGGGGAAATAATTTACCAATGGTTCCTTTTACTTGTTTGTGCAAGCAAGATGAAATCATAACTACTGTAGTTGGGTTAACTACAGATAAATTGCACCCTGGTGCCTTACTCAGTTTGGAACCATCTTTGCACTTTTTGAAGTGCTACTCTTCAAAGTTCAGGAGAGATTTTTGTTGTAACTTGGAGACTGTATCCCGCATCTTAAATTGAGATGTCAATGTGTGACCATGATAGGATTTTAATACATACTAAGTCACTGTGTCAAGCTGAAAGACATCCACTTGCACTGGCTACTCAGCAGAGAATACCAAGAACGGTATCTCCAGAATGAGCTGTATTGCAGCCCAGATGTTGGTCACTGCCTGTCTCTTCTCCCCTTCTCACTGCTCCTGCATGTTCACAGTGTGTACCTGTGGGAAAGAGAGCTGGGGTAGTGTGCTGCAACAAGGTTTAAGACTGAAATGAGCAATTCATTTCTTGTGGATACAAAGGAGGAAAATGGCTTTTTCATTAGAGAGCAGATGTACCCAGCTGCTGGCCATCAGTGATATATTTAACCATGTTCAACTTCTGCTCCATGGGAGTATGAGGGGAAATGCTGAGATGCAGCGTTTGAGGAGTACTGGCTTCATTTCTGCACCAATATTACTGGATTTTTCTCTCCCCTTCACAAAACAAAGAAATAATACAAAACTCACAGTCTTATTAACTAAAGAACTAACAGAAATAGCTGTCCTACAGTACTGTTACATGTTTGCTCATTTTTGCAAGTAAATCTGCAATTGATTGCTGTTTTAACAAATGTGTAGCTATTGTGGAGTTAATGAGAAATGGCTTTGTACAACTTTGTTAGGAACTAGGGTGCAGATTCACCTCCACTGATAATTTTCTTAAATGCTTCTGTGTACGTATCCCATTTTGTGAAAATCATTCTGTAGGTGTCCTATTGGCTTCTCATGCATGCTCTACCCTCTGTCCACCATAGTGTTTGGCATAGAAGCTTTAGCCTAGTTGTAGCCTTCAGACATCATGGGGAATAAAGGTGGTGTAATAACCTGCCAAGGTCCTGGCAGGGAATTTTGATGATGCCTCCACCAGATGCCTGTATTCTCTTATTTATTTCTCCTGTCAGTGCTAGTTACTGTACTGACTCTTTGTAAGGCTTCCTAATACTGATGAAACTGAGAAGCCCATCGTGCAGTTTGAGTGCTAGCATTTTCAATCAAGTCATTCTGTTATGAACATGTTAGGTAGCTGGAGAGTTTCCAGAGAAGAGATCTTTATGCTATATAAAACATAGAGATAAATAAGATACAAAATGCAGCTTTGCACTTTGTTTTCATTAATTTGTATTTTCTTTGACTGCATTTATGTAACATCCATATATATATATATAAAATTCAGTTGTATTTTTAGCAACTTTGCATAACTTCACACCTTCATGTAACTTTCTTTTTTTTTTTTGCCTTAGGGATGACCCTTTTTCTTGCTTTGGAAAAAAGGGTGTACCTGGTAGAATTTCTAAAACATGAAGTGTACCACAGTGCACTGAATAAGAATGATACTAACTTTGTAATTTCAGATAGCGTATTTTTAGTTTGTTAGGTTTTTCCCCTCTATCAAATACCTGGGACTTAGCAATTACGCAGTTCTGGCATTCTGATCATACCAGGGTATACCCAGCATTACAAATCCCCTTTTTTTAAATCCTCACTTCAAAACAGATGCTGGCTTTATTTCTTCTGCTAAAATCAGTTATCTCATTAGAGATTTAAGTAATCTTTCACTCCCTGCCTTTTTTCAACTTTCTCAGGATGTTCCTTTCTTCCTTAAGAATGTATAGAATTTTCATACAGCAAAAGAAGAGACATCTATTTCAGCTCTCCTTTTCCCCTTTTGTTCCTTCTCTCTCTAGCAACACAGTTTTTATTTGCCAGACTAAGAGACATGCTGACATTGTTATTAAGGCTAAGTAGCAAAATGGTACTGATTTTCTTTCTTTCTTTCAGATCTCTACAAAAATGGTCTTCAGAGAGCTAATTTTGTTCCATTCATTGCTGTGCTGAAGGTAAGGAGAGTCACTCATTAAATGCTTTTCAATTTTGTCTGCTGTATTAATAAATTAGAGATTTGTACAGGGTTGCTTTGATATTCGTTTCTAGATAAGATGACTGTGCTTTAACTGTTTGGAGCAAAAGTAGTTGACGGTAAGGCAAAAAGGAGCTCCTCTCTCTAGAATTAACGTGTTTTGAAAGCTGGGCTTTTAGTATGACAAAAAGTTACCTTCTGGACTAAGGCATCAGAATTCATTTATTTGCATAAGACTTTTGCTGCTGTGTATATGCTGTGTGACCTGGGATTCCTCTGACAGTTACACTGTGGCGTACCTGTGGATATCTTGTATTTATTATGCTACAAAAGCTTGGTGTTTCTTTGGTGTAAGGAAATCAGTGTAAATAAGTGTAAATAAATGATATTATTCCTGGATCTCTGCATTTTTCCCTTTCTGTATATGTGGCTTTCTGATTGGGTATTTGTGAAGCATCATATAATGTCTAACAAGTAAAAAGTTCTCAAGCAAGCTCCCTGGATCTGTCTTGTGGTGTGGCAGGCCATGAACTTTATAATCACTTTATTTAGATTAAAAACATGGAGCATTGTTTTTCAATGTGAATAATACAGTCAGCGCTTATTTTGCTAGTAAAAAGAACATGTGCTGAACTCGCACTTTTTAAGTTCTGGGCAAGTCACAGATATTTTTAATTCACAAACCATGATTGTAACCTTAAGCTATTGAGGACCAGCGTGTACGGGTCCTGTGTCCTGCTCTGCCTGGGTTGACATGACAGGTAAAATGGAAATAGAAGCCCTTCCTACCTCACGATAGTATTGCCAGCATAAATAAGGTTGACTATATCAATATTCAAGGTAGAAGAAAAGCAAGGAAAAAGTTAAGGGTAGGTTTGGCTTTGTGAGAAGACATTTGGAATTGCAGAATAGATACATTGCCTGGATGTATCTGCTAAGGTGGCCAGCAGTAAAGCAGTGGACAGTGCTTTGGGCTTTCAGTGACGCATTTTGGAATCATAAATTTTCTGGGCCCCTTAGTTCAAGAAGGACAGGGAACTGCTGGAGAGAGTCCAGTGTAGGGCTACAAAGTTGATTAAGGGAGTGGAGCATCTCCCTTATGTGAAAAGGCTGAGGGAGCTGGGTCTCTTTAGTTTGCAGAAGAGGAGACTGAGGGGAGACCTCATTCATGTTTATAAATATATAAAGGGTGAGTGTCACGAGGATGGAGCCAGGATCTTCTCGGTGACAAACAATGATAAGACAAGGGGTAACAGACACAAGCTGGAACACAGGAGGTTCCACTTCAATTGGAGAAGAAACTTCTTCTCAGTAAGGGTAACAGAGCACTGGACCAGGCTGCCCAGAGAGGTTGTGGAGTCTCCTTCTCTGGAGACATTCAAAACCCGCCTGGACGCCTTCCTGTGCAACCTCATCTAGGTGTTCCTGCTCTGGCAGGGGAATTGGACTAGATGATCTTTTGACATCCCTTCCAATCCCTAATGTTCTGTGATTCTGTGATTCATAAGGTTGCTTTATTGCCTAAGCACTTGTGAAAATCCCATCTAACACTGACATAGGAGCAACTACCAGGTTCCAAAGTTAACATGACATTGACATGAACATGACACTCATGTATCTCAGAATGGCTGCATATAAAGTCAGGGAGGTTACCAGTGAAAGAGGCTCTTTCCTGGATGGCTCTAGAAAAGTAAGAAACATAAAAACAAATGAACAACCACTTCCACTTCAGATTCTTGAGAAGGCTTTATTCTGTAGCTGACTGCATTGCATGCAAGGGAGGTGCTGATCATAGAACATTTTCAAGAATAGTAATAGCTTCATATGCATTTGCTTTTTGAGATGCAGCATCACGCTCAGTCAGCATCTGTGGCAAATCTTTCTTTTCCTTGCAGTTAACCAGTCGTCTTTTTGATACATCTTTCCTTGTTGACTCTCAGTCTTCTTCTCTGATAAATGTAAAGCTCTTTTCATGTCACTGATGATCAAACTTGAACGCTATCTACCCTGTATGCTTATTTCTAGTTTCCATTTTTCTCTTTCTGGCTAGCAGGTTTTTGCATATAGAATATGTCATCAGGACTGGGAAAATAACCTAAATTTTTTGGAAGGGACCTTGTGGATAGAACACAGAGAGAAGCCCTAAAGGTGGATTGATTTACAGTTGTGACATAAATTGGAGTAGTGCGAAAAGAAACGAGTAGCACAATCCAGACGAGAGGTGGATGATCGTTACCAGAATAATGAATGAAGAGACAAGAAAGGTTTCATGCAATGTTCACAAGGACCTTACTAAAGGCCTGGATTACTTGTTGTTGTTTTTTCCCCTACATCTTCGTGGTTTATCACTGCTTGAAGTATATCTGCCTTTAATGTCGCTTTAATAAATATTACCAAAACCACATGATTCTTTCCCAAAAACATAATGCCTGAAAGGTAGGTGAGAAGAAGCTTGTAAACAAGTGCTTCTCTGGCCTTAGTTAGGAAAGGAAAGGGTAATGGCAAGGTATTAAAATAATAATTGAAAAATTTGCAAATACACATTTTGAATTAAGCACATGAGAAGCAGGCATTAAAAAAGCCACACTGCAATGTATTTTAAAGTAACATTTTTAACAAGTGACCTTAATGCTACAAAGTTGTAGATAGAACTAAGTTGATATTCTGGCTGTGTTGGTTTGAGAAACACAGATTTAGGCATCTCCAACATGTGCATGATCTGTACCATGGCATCCCTGTATCTTCTCATGGCAGTGGTGTTAATGGTTGGTGTAGCTTCTGCAGCAGCTGATTACAATTCCACATGTGACTTTAGGAAATGTAAAGATTATATTTTCAAGGGTTTTGCATGTAAATATAGTGGAAAAATACTATATTGGACGCTTGCAAAGGTGATTTACTGTCTTCTGTGCCTTCACCTCATTCCAAGTGCCTGTGGTAGTGTCATTCCCATCTAACCTATTCTTTGTGGTGGCTTTGACAACTTGGGCTAACTTCTGTCTTGGTTTTCTCTGGGCTCAGGGCATTTGTTTGGGATGTGGTCAATGGGAGGGTTGGTTTTGTTTGCTTGGAAAATTGACTTTTATGATGATAAATCTTAAAATAAGGCTTTAACACTAAAAGTAATTCAAGTTTGGTGCAGGAGCTTCAAATTCCTTTAAATATTGTTGGAAAGATGGGATGAATGGAAAGTAATGACAGTACATTTCATGAAGAGATACTTCACTTGAAATAGATTTCGGGCTTTTTCCATTCCTTGTCAGTAGAACGCGTAGTTCTCAGACACCCCACTAACTCTTATGCAAAAAGCTTTCTCTTCAAATGATCACAAGTAACAGTTTCTTTCCTAGATTGAGAATTGCTCCTGTTCATCCTTGATTTTTTGTTATTTCGGTTTACTTCTGGTTATCTGATTCCAGTATCTGGTTTTGTGTCCCTATTTCTTACAAAGATAACTACAAACCAATTTTTGTGGAATAAGCAAGAAGGTGAAGCAGCGGTCTAGGGAAGATACAGTTGTCTTGCAAGGTCGGTCTGTATTGATTGCCTTTCTGGGTGGCAGATTACTGGGGACAAGCGGTTGCTGAATGCCTGAAGTAGGAGGTGCAGTTGATAAATTCCACTTTTTAGGGGCCATGTGAAAGCCCCAGGTCTGTGTAGTTGGGCAGGCCAGTAAGGGTATTGGGGGTATTGGCAGCTCTTCCTGCCCTGCATGTGTCCCCCTGCCCAATTCGGAAGCTATCGCAGTGTTCTGATCTTTTGAAATCTTAAATAGTCCGAGATTAAATGTTTCAGTGATTCTTTAATCCTGTAACTGAAAGTGGTAGTTTTCATAAACGGGGCAAAACTCTCGATTGATGGGTTTGTTGTTGTGGCTAAAATTCTTTGGGATACAATATTCTGTATGGAAAGGCTTTGTTTCTGCAGTAGGTAAGAGCGCTTCTTCAGTCCCTGAAGTTTTATAAAGATAGAGCTTTAAACAGATAAGAAGTATTAGGAAGGAAAATCTTTTAATTCTATAATTGCAATTAGATTCAGTCCCTTCTGATTGAGCTTTTAATCTTGCAACATCTCTTACCAAGCATTTTGAAGTGCTTGGAACTCCTAAGTGATTTTTTTTTTTTTTGGTTAACAAAGGCAGTTCTTGAAAAGAAAAACATTAGTTTCTCACAGATATGTTCAAATGCTTAGAGCAGAAATACTCCAAAAACTGTTAATCTAAGCCAGTAAGAAATATTTATGAAAAAAATTCTAAAGATTTTAAAACTGATTTACAAATAAGCTTGTGTATCTTTAACAACTTGATGAAAGAGCTGAAGTGAGAGTTGTTAAAAAAAACAAACAAAAACCCAAACCAACCAACCAACCAAACAAAAACCCACCATGCTTTATTTTGCTGGTTTGGCAGTAATTTTAGCAACACTTTAATTTTGTAGACATTTAATGAAGACATTTACTCAACCCTTAACTGTTGTGGAGTCCCGATTCTAATTCAGTGACTAGTTCAATGCTTAATTCTTCAGACAAACAAGAAGGAAAGCTCCTCAAACAGTTTGTTGTGTATCATCTATAACTTAGAATGAGGAGTTCTGGAGTTTCCATAGGTTTCCTGGAACCATAGCGTGAACTTTTAAAAAGTCAAGCCAAGTCAAAATACCAAATATGTAACTTCTGCATTTTGTCAGGTTTTCTTCATGCAGTAGACTCATAGTGCAATAAATTCTAACTGAAAGTCAGGAGGTTTTGGGGCCCTTCATAGCCTGAGTATGCTTTTATATGTAGTGTTTTAAAATAAAATGTTTGGCTACCTGCATTTTACTTCAACTAAAGAGAGAGAATCGACCAGAAACCTGTTGTCAGCAGGACATGAGATTACTGTAAGCTTCCTATAGTGAGTTTTTTTTCTTCTGCTTTTAAGGACCAAATAATAATTTATTTTAAAACGGCAGTTAAAATTACTATTAACAGTAAGCATTGTGC